TACTTGAATATTGGGGCTTATTTAAGATATTCCTTTATTTGATTGTTTTGGTAAAATATGTTGTAAAAATTTAGATATGAATTATAAAAAAATATATTAATACTTTGAATAAATTTGCAGGAAATTAATAATTAGATCGATCTATGGGTGTTAGGTGTGTTAACCATCACCCAATATTATATTAATCATAACTATAATATAATATAATCTTATAACCATTAACTCATAATGTAAAAATTTTTATAAAAAATATTAAGGCCCGGCCCGGGTTTAACAATCTTAGGCCCGGCCCGGATATATTTAAAAAAAAATTTTTTAGGCCCGGCCCGAGTATATTTGAAAAATTTAAAATACGGCCCGGCCCTGCCCGGGCCGGGCTTAGGGCCGGGCCTGCAGGTCTCTGATATATATTAAAGTCTAAATCCTATAAATTTTAGAAGATTTTATATTGAATTTCTTAAAATTTTAATTTACATAAAAATATTTTGAAAAATTATAAAAAAATTATTATAAATTAAAGTCTCTCCATAAGTTTGTATAAAATTGTCCGACATTTATAAGTAGTGTTATTAGCTTAAAAATCAACTATACCTAATTAGGCCTAACCGAAAAATCGCCTAAAACTAATTAGACAAAATGTAGGGATTGGGAGACGTTACACAACTCTAAGCCTAGCCTTAATTATTCTATATTCCTATTTATCAAAATTAAATATATATGATTATTTTATATATATTTATTATGTAACGATATATTGAACACTATTTTGTAAATATTTCTCTTAACTTCTGAGAACTTTTCTATTAAAGATACAATAGATATTTTTTGCTCCTTTCTATCTGATGATAATTTCATTTTTTTTTCTCTATATAATAATAAAATTTCCAGATCATCAATATTGCTATCATTATCATTGTTATCGCTACAACCAGTAGATATTGTCGTAGCTTCAATATATTGTAAATAATAGAGTTTTGGGTATGCCATAAATCCTCAAGATGGGCTATGGCAATTTATTTTTTCTCAATACTTAATAAAACTTGATATCGAGGGTCTAAATATATTAAAGCATATACAACACTATTTTGTAAATATTGTTGATCTCTAATTTTCATATTTTCTTATATTTCATAAGAAAAAGAACTTGTAAATCTTCCTAACTCTAATCGACATCTTATCCATATGCCATAAAAATCCGATAAACATAACTGTTCTGCTTGCAATCTTAATCTAGTTATTTTTAAAAGAACCAACACACTAGTAAGGTCTTTTATTTGATTCCAATCATCTTCTGACAAAATGGCTTCACATGCTCTTATAATAAAATCATTACAGAAATCTTTCAAACTTATTAATCGCTCTAACATCATACAAAAGAGGACCAACTTGTTGTGCAATCTAATATTGCCATTTGCCTTTTCATAGATTTTAATATTCTTACAATTGTGGGAGTTCTTAAATATTTTACAACATCCCTTACTTTATCAATTATAGTTTTAAATTTATGGTATCAATCTCTAAATAAAATAAAATGAAATCCAGGAAGAAAAACGAAAGAAAAACGCGAATATAAAATAAATAATTCTATGAAAAAAATTAATGAAATTATAGAAATTTATATTTTTACATTATTTTTTAAAATTAAAATTTTTTTATAATATCCTGAACCCTTCACTTTTTAAAATTTCGGGTTCATCCAAAATACGAGGGTTCAGGGTTAGGGTCCGGGTTCACATCCCTGAAATAATCATATATTGTTAAATATATATTTAAGCTTTTTTGAAAAAGGTATTAAAGATTCTTTAAAATAAAATTTAAAAAAAGCTCTATAATAGTTTATGAGGTAGAAGATGAAGTTTTGTGACAGTGTTTTTCTAGCCAGTCAATACATTGTTTACTGGCCATAATAAATTATTTAAGAATTATATGAAATGATTGCAAAAAACCTATCTTATATATTTCTTCATTTTTTAGGCATATAAAAATTTAATAATGCAATTAGTATTAATATCTAAATTTATCAATATTCATTTAATGATTATACTTTATCAATTTATATCTTAATTATCTTTTTATTAAAAATTCTTATTTCAATTAATCACTATTTATTTTGAATTTATGAATTATTATCTTAACTGTTTTCAATAATTTTATCATTCATGATGTATTAAATTATTTAGGGAATTATTAACAATAATGAAAACCATTTTATTAATTTATAAATGAAACAATTGTATCACTATTTAAATACATAACAAACAAATTGCAGACAATTATTCCACTCTTCACCTTTAAGGTTTTCTTAGGAATATTAAATTTAGTAGATATTAATAATGTTTATCTTTTATTAATGAATATATCATCATTTGCCAGTTTAATTTGTTCATCATTTGATTTTGTACCAAATATGTTTAGCGAGCTTTTCATTTCTATATGAATATAGAATTTTGGCCAGTCAATACATATGCCTATTAAATAAAAATTAAAACCATAATTTTTTGTGCGTATAATGCTGAATGCCTAAGGATAATATTTATATAAAATAACAATAATCTAAATTAGTAATTTTTTCACCAAACAAAAAATGTGTAACGAGATTTTTCCAGAAAGAAATACTAAAAACAGCTTATTTAAATTTTTTTTTATTGGATTGCTCTATTCAATAGGTAAAGTACATATCATAAAATACACATTTTGACAAATTTTGGGAGAAATCGGTCGAAAAGATAATAGTTAAAAGGTGGTAGCTAGTCTTCAAACATGGCCATTTATGCCACATTTCCCATATATATTATGTTAATATTATTTTTCGTTTTTAATATTTAAAAACGCAAAATATTCGGCGTTTTTTTTAGTAATTTAGTAATATTAATCTTTACAAATTGACCACTTTCTAAATTATATCTTCGGTTATGTCGTAAAAAAACGATCCGAACTTTTAATTGGATTCCAAAGATCAAGATTTGTTTTTATATTTTTTTTGCTTCGTAATCACCTTAAGATCCTTATTTTTATATGTCCAAAATATAACCAAAATTATTCAATTTTTATATATAAATTATAACTGTTATATTTGCTTCACTTGCATTTTGATTTTAAAAAACAAATTTTGTTAATTTTTTTAAAAATTTTAAATTAAATTGATCGATAAATATTTCCTATATTTCATATAAAGTTTAATATTTTTCTCATTTTCTGAATTTACGCAAATGAAGCTGTACAAATATAGAACGTCGATATATTTGGTATAATATGGGATTCAAATCATATTACTTATATTTAAAGAGCAATAACTATTGTTCTACTAATCGTCAGTTTAAGATTCTAAAAATATTAGCGATAGTGTTGTTAAACGGCTCGATTTGAGCCGATTTTTATCACGGCCACCTCTAGATTATTCTAATAGATGTTTAAATTAAAGGTCAGCATTGGGAGAGTTTTCTCCCGCCTGCCTATGCCCGGTTATAAAAAATTATTTGAAATTTTTTAACATCCTTTTATCTATTTAATTTAAAAAAAAAACTTAAAAATGACGATTATGACAATTGTCACTTTTCTAAGGTACATATTCACTGAAAATGTAATTTAACATGTTCACAACATATATTTTACCTATTTGCTTCATAAAAATTCGAAAAAACTTAAAAATGAAGATTATGACAATTGTCACTTTTCTAAGGTACATATTCACTGAAAATTTAATTTAACATGTTTACAATATATATTTTTAACTATTTGCTTCAAAAAAATTCGAAAAAACATAAAGATGACGATTATGACATTTGTCATTTTACTAAGGTACATATTCACTGAAAATTTAATTTAACATGTTTATAATATATATTTTTACCTATTTGCTTCAAAAAAATTCGAAAAACTTAAAAAATGACGATTATGACAAATTTTAACGCAAGCCGACCCAACTAGCCGACCCAGCAATCCGACCCAGCAAGCCGACCCAGCTGACCCAGCAAGCCGACCCAACAAGCCGACCCAGCTAGCCGACCCAGCTAGCCGACCCAGCTAGCCGACCCAACAAGCCAACCCAACAAGCTGACCAAATGGGTCGACTCAACAGGCCCATTGGGTCGGGTTGGGTCGTGGTCGATTTTTCAACCCTGGCTCAGGGTTGAGCAGATTTCTATGACTTCGGCTCGGGTTGTGGGGTTAGAGTCTAACCACCATATAGTTTTATGATTTGGATTGGTATTTATATTCTCTTCTTCAAGAATTGTTGATTTGGTTAGGCCTATAAATTTTTCCTTATTAGTCTATTCTATAAAACATTGTATAAAATGGTAACAGAGAGTTATATTAGTTTCATGACCTTTTGCCAATGTAAGTTGCGAAGAATTATAGTTTTTAAAAACCATTGTCAATTGAGGCATTAATTAACCTTTTTTATCACTTGTAATACGCAAAATTTTTTATATCAGCAATCAAAAATATTTTAGAAATATTATATGTAATAATCGCAAAGTTCATAAAATAACTAAGAATAATAAATTCAAATCAAAGGACGAGTATTTTTTTTAAATGGATCGTACATAAATATTAATAAGATAAAAATTATTTTAAATGTTAACATAGTGTAGTAGATTTTAAATAAAATCTTATAATTCCCGGCCGTTGGCCAGGTAAAAGCAAGCCGTAGGCCCATAAAGAGGGGTTTGGGGGCGATGCCCCTTAACTATGGCTTAGAAATCTCCCACTGGGCCTTTAGTCTCCCATTCCGCCCCTGACTATAAGCTTATTTAACAATCAGAGGAAACAAATAGAAGAGCGCAAGAAGATTAAGCACATAAAAATCAAGACCTTCCATTTTTGATGATAATTCGACTAATTAAAAGTTAAATCAAAATGTGTATTTTAATTATTACTAAATATAATCACGTTTATATAATTAGTTAATTTAAAAATTTGGGAACGAAAATTTGTTATTATAAAATAGAACATAGTAATTTTAAAAAATTTAATTACAAAATATTTACCGAATTTAATTTACACAATTACACCAACCTATTTCAAAAACAGTCGATTTCCACTTTATCATGAAGAAATATGGATGATGATCTGCAAAAGATTTATATTGGAAGGTTGAGTTTAAACTCGACTGAACAAACGATAAGAGAATCATTTTGTAAATATGGGAATGTTATAAATAGTGTTGTTATGAAAGATAACAAACATAAATCTCGCGGCTTTGGTTTTGTTACCTTTGATTGTATAGAAACTGTGGATATTGCAATGTCGGATAGACCTCATAAAGTGGATAATAAAGAAGTTGATACCAAAAGAGCTGTTCCAAGACGAGTAAAATAAAAATGAGATTTTTAATGTTTGATTAGCTTCAAGGTAAACCTGATGCATATATAACAGCCAGCAAATTGTTTATAGGCGGAATTACGGAAAATATTAGTAAAAGTATGCTAAAAGAATACTTTGAACAATTTGGGAATGTTGTACTTGTGGATATAAAAAAAGATTTATTAGGTAGATTTCGTGGCTTTGCTTTTGTCTTGTTTGATGATCATGATCCTGTTGATAAAGCTTTATGTAAAATTTAAATTATTTCTTGTAAAATTCCAACTTATAGTATATGATTCTCATAGCGTTGATGATTGCAAAATAGAAATAAGAAAAGCTTTGAACAAAAATGAATTAGTCTCAGTTAATGGAAAAATTGTAAGCCCCATGAGATCTAGTGATTCACGTTTTATATATAAAAAATGACAATAATTAACTTATTTATAGGAAATATACATAACATGATGGGACAACATTTTAATTCATTGCCAATCACAAATAATGATATAACAACCTTTTCAGGGTTTTCAAGTAAAAAACGTTTAAAATTAATGATGAAAACAGATAGGGACAAATGATATAAAATGATTAATCTATTTTTCTGATTATATTTATCTCTTAAAATATTAAAACACTTTTTTAGATTTAAACCATGAATTTACTCAAATGCAAAATAGTCAGCAACAAAGATTTCATCAAAATACTTATATTCCATCAAATGAAATAATGTGGAATACACATAATAGTAAGAAATATTTGGAAATATGAATAATAATTTTATATTAGACCATATAAATGACATGAATTCATCCTGTTCAATTAATAAAAATTATGAAGAATTTATATATAACTATGGAAATTAACTTGATTGGTTTTTGTAATTCCTTACATCATAATACAAACCAGTTATGTTTTTCTAAAAATAGAATTGTGTCAGAAACTCAATTAATTTATATATGTTAATTTCAATGAATTGTTTACATATCAGATTAATATAGAATCTCTAAATTTGAATTATTCATTTACATTGTAAATGCACACAAACTAAAATTTATACAATATCTCCATTTATTGTAATTTTTAAATAATATAATTAAAATTATAATTTCATATTATATTAATCACCTTTAGAAAAATTATTTATATTCAGATTTATAAAATAAAGAAAAAATGCCATTAAAATTCACCACTTCAAACTAGTGCTGTAAAGTAATGTCCTTACCTTAAAAACATTTTTTCATACTATAAATACTTTTTAATTCATATCAACCACCATTCCTTCATTTTTATTTTAAATTCTCATTGTTAAATATCAGTCAAATGTTAATCTAATTAATATTCAATCAAAATTCAAGGTAAATGTTAATAGTGTAAATATAATTTGTACAATTATATATTCAAATTATATAACTAAAATAATAAGGATACAAAATGCTTGATTTATGCATTGGGCAGGTTTTTGGACCATAAATACACCCTTAAATTTTTATTTACCCGCCCATTATTTATAAAAAATTTTAACCCAAGTCCACTATTATAAAATTTAATTATAGCCATTCTATTAATTTTTTAAGCATCTAATAAAAAAATTTAAGCACTATACTCTATTAAAAGCATAAAAAAATATGGATAATTTATTTGATTAAATAAAATATTTATGAATATAAAATTTACCTTAGTTTATATATAGTCATAAAATATTTTTACAAGAGAATTTTTAATAAAAAAGATAAGTTTGGAACAAATATGAAATACATTTTTATTAGTTTATATAAAATAATAAATTACTTGTATATACATTAATATAAAAGCATGGTAATAATTTATTAAAAAGTAAGTAGAAATATAGATTTTATTCCTCTATTATATAAAATTGCTTACAAATAACTAGGTAAAATTCGACTTTTACAGACATTTAACAGTTAGAGAATATATTACATTGCATTCAATTATTTAACGCCATCTATTTATTTTAAATAAAAAATGATATTAAAAAATAATCTTCATATTATTTATCTCACAATGTCTTTAAAAGATATTTTCTGATGTCCTTATCAATATTTTATAATTTTCTGTAAAATTCGCTATATTGGTAAAAATTATTTGATTGTCCTATGATAATTGATAAAATGTAAATCAACGACATATAATATTCCACTGTTTGTATTGTACTTTAATTTTTTATTTAATTTATGATTTACTTTTATCAATAGTTTTATAATTATAATTTACTTTTATTAAAATAAATAAATTGAAATTACTAACTTTATAAAAAATTATATTTGTTATATTATATTATTTATTAATCTATGGATCTATTAATAATTATAATACATTTCATTTTTGCCTTAAGCTTATCTTTGGCTTATATTCCATTTCTTAAAAAACATTTTTGGTTTTTATAAAATGATATTTACATAAAATGATAAATTTCTGAGGGGGGGGGAATTCCCTTTTATTCCCCACTTTGGCTACGCCTATGATCCGGTGCGACAATTTTGGAAGACTTAACAAGGGTTATTAATTATATAAATATCTAGATTTTACTAATATACTAAACATGTTATAAAGTTATTTGTTCAGTATTTCCAACAAACACAATCTACTCATTTAACATAGATACATAATAATTTGAAATTAAAATTTGCTCTGTCCATATCATATAAAGTAATTAAATATATATGGATACCCTTTTTAATCAACTCAGACGTTTAAGTAATAGTTCTATACGGTACAAGTATGCGCGGTTTGCGCACAAAAGTGTGAAGCAGCGTCTATATAAACGGGGGGGGGGGGTGTAGGAACAGTTTGCATCCAATTTTTATTGAGGGGTAAGGAGTAGATGTCTTAAAGGGGAGTAGGATAAATTTATTTGGGGGTTATCTATTAAATTTTTAGATGAAATGGGACAAAATATATTGCTGTAATAATACTTTTATTATAGACCTATTATAATATATGATATTGCTGGTCATCGACCAAATATATATTACAATTCATCTCAGCAAACTCATATTTATGCCAAAAAATATGCTATAATAACGCATTTTTTGTAAATAAGGGGTTTTTTAATTGAATTTATGATCTAAAAAATAATTCTTTTATATTCATAATATTTTGATAGTTGGTAGTAAGCTAAAATAACTTAAGTTTTTCTTTTTAAAATTTATGAAAGGAGCATCTATAATAAAATGGTGTAATTAATAATGTGAAAACATCTCAAAATTTTTTTAGGGGATTGACAAAGGTTTTTGAGGGGACATCCAGTGGAAATCCTGTCCTATAAGTCGCTGGTACGAAGGGCTTCTAATACCCCCCCCCCTTTAATATTCAGTTTGATGGATTTGAGGAAACCCTACCCTAGTTCTGTTGCCTGTCAATGCTAGAGGATTTAGCGATGAAATGACATAGAAATATTATACACAAAATAATGAAAGATATTTTGGATAGTATATAAATATTTTTTTACCCTTACTTGTATTTTAATAATTTCTTAGCAATTAATTTTTAATTATGTTTTTAACAGTATGATGTGTTGTAATATTTTTATTTTGACACTCTGCAATTCAATGTCCATATATAAATAAATGCTATATTTCTCACAGTATTAATATGTATAGACAATGTAATATTATTTATTAAGCGAAATTAAAAAATCTTGAATATTATAGTTGAAAATATCTACTAAATTTCTATATTTATTCTTATATTAATTATCATTATATTTCAATTTGATAATAAAAATTGTGATAATAAATAAAAATATTAACGTTTTTTGAATAAACTTAACTTTGGCTAAGAAAAAGATGACTATATTTTTTTTGCCGTTAATGTTTAAATTCAATATTACATTCATTTTTTAGCATACAAACAATGACTATTCTATGTCTCATTTAATTTTGAAAAACATCAATAAGTGAACTTAATAAATTTATAAGATAAAACTTTTACAACTGGGTTATAAAAGGTTTTATTCAATTGGTTATCAGAGTAATATTGAGTTAATTTCTACATTTGTGCTAGATCATATTTTGGTTAGCGAATACATATACATATTATAAGAAATTGTAGATGGTAATAATAAATAAAAATACAACTGGCCAAAGGTTGCAAAAAAATTGGGTAGAAGACCCGAAAGGGTGGGGTGGGGACAAAGCTCCTCAGAAATTATGTACATAGTCCAAAGTTAGACATTAAAAAAAACACTTTTTAAGACCCCCTTTGTATAAAGCTAATGACGCCACTGAGCATAAGTTATTATAATTGTAATATCACTTGGAATTATATCATATTTATTGTTTTCGTCACTGCAATCATTACTATTGTTGCGATAACTATTGTATAAAGTTTTTTTTTATATGATTATTATTGTTATTTGTATCATATCATTATCATATTTTCACATTTATTTTTATTAATTTTGAATGTCCTTTTTTATAGTTTAACATTGTTTTTAATTTACATCTGTTGTGAAACAGTTTTTGTTTTTATAATCTACTATATGTAATTTATTCTATATTTTTAATGGGACACAACAGTATTTTATTTAGACTTTTTTATTCTTATTTTATAATGAACTATATATTTTTTTAAAAAACAATGCTAATGATAATTTATAATGGAACCAAAATAATATATAATTTTTTAATATTTTTTACACTGATCTACTTTTCTTCTTTTTCATATAAAAATAAAATACATGCTTGAAAACATTGCAAATAAAAATCAATGACCCCTACCCCCACACCCCCCCCCCTCCCAAAAAAACTTAACAAAATTAAGTAATTTTATAATATTACACAGTCCACCCATGGACTAATAAGGTTTCACTGGCATCTTTTGTTTTTTGTTATCTTCAAAGCAATTTTACACAACCCGAGCCCTTAAAATAATTTTGGTTTTAAGGATAGTTTTTTCAATTATTTTCTCGATCAGTAACGTAAAAGAATCCCATAATCCCCGTAAAAAATTTTTTTGCCTATTCCAATTAATTTTATTTAAAAACCGGTTTCAATTTATAAACAAAATAATATATACGATATCAAAATGAAATATATTTAAAAAATCAAATAAGAATTTTTAATTTTAAATGATAACATGGTTTAAAATATATATATTAAATTTTTTCTGGCAGAGTTAAATTAGATATTTATAAATTTAATAATAAAATTTATATTGTTTAAACTAATTAGATAGTTTTAAAAATTTTAATTAATATTTTATAATTTTTAAATAAAAGAAAAATCATTTAATTTGGTAAATATAATGAGAAAGTACAGGTGATTGCTAATATGTTTGGGATTAAAAATTTTAAACCTAGAGTAGTTTCTATTTCTAGATAGTCCAATTGCTTAAATATTGATGCATCTACGATTGAGGGTTTTATATAAATATTTTTATTCTCCTTATTGATACATTTTTATTTCAATTAAAGGAAAGATTTATTAGTTACAATTTTATTTTTAACAGCTTTTATTTTCGCCAGTTGAGTCTGAATACACTTGAAAGGCGAGAGGATATTAAAAAAATCTCAGAATTTTATTCTGATGAATTATCAGGATCGTATCATAGCTAATTTTGTGATGTCAAATTTTGGTATTAAAATCTTGACAGAATGGAATACTAAAAATGCTTTGCAGGTTCTTTCTATGTATAATTGCAGTTTAAATTCCCTGCCTAATATCATAACATTGCTTTTTATTTTAGCTACCTTACCGATTAGCATCTGCACTAATGAAAGGTTTTTCAACTTTTAAAAGGTTAAAAACCTATTTAAGAAATAGCACCGGTGAAAACCATTTAAATGGATTCCCAATATTAAATATTTATAAGGAGATTATTCTAGATAAAAATTTGATTCTAGATGAATTGGCCAAGTCTCAGAAAAAAGTAGACCTCTATTTATAAATTCAAATCTTAAAATTGCTATATGATTATAATATGTTCTTAGTTATGAAATTTTTATATTCAAAACGCTCAAACTTAAAAAAACATTTGAAGGTAAAGAATAAATTAATATATAATTATTTTAAACATATAAAAACTTAATCATGAAATGATTTTAAAAAAATTAATCTAAATTTCATTATAGATTTTATTATTAAAATACTATATATATATAGCATCTTATTATTTAACCATGTATTAGATAGCTACGGCTTTTTCAATTTTAGAGAGCGAAGAAAATATGCATTTGGGATAACTCACTCCCACTATAACCATTATAATATCAAAACTTAAAAAATTGGCTTTAAAAAATTTTAAGTTTTGTAAGCCACTTATTGATTCAATCCTGGAAGCCGTAGATAAAAGGTATACAGTTCAAATATTGCTTATAATTTATATGTTGACTATCATATTTTCAATAGATTCAAACACATTTATGATGATGAATATATACTATCTTAAATAATTCACCCACTATTTAAATTGGATTGGCCCTAAATAAAATTAGAGGTCAATAAAGGAAGCTGGAACTTATTTCCAATTTGAGAAAAGATAATGATAAAGAAAGAACAGGCTTGATTTCTTTATCCAACACACACACTAGAATATTTTCAGATAAAGATAAAATTTTTTTGATGAGGAAATGAATGAAGATCTCTGTGAAGATGATCTTTCAAGTTTTTTTCAAAAAAAAGATATTTTCTTAAATATTTTTAATAAATTCCCCGAATTGAAATTTTTGTTTATTAAATATAACACCACTTTCTCATCCTCTGCGCCAATTGAGCGTGTGTTTAGCACAGCGAAAACGCTCATGTTTATCTGATCAAAATTTTGAAAATCATTTGTTGTTAAAATGAATAAAAAATTGTTACATAAAGATGTTTTCTTATAATATATTATTTTTGTATAATTTTATTCATATTATAATTATATATGAAAATTTTATTATAAAAAGATCTTATCTTATATGTTCTTTTTGTGTAGTTTTGTTTTATTATATATTGTCGGTGCATTATATACAGTGTTGTTAAAATAGCGCGCTACTTTTTTCAGTAGCGGTAGCTATAGCGCGCTACTTTTTAAAAAAAATAGCGATAGCGTTAGCTCGCTACTAATTTAGAAAGTAGCGAAGTAGCTTACATAATAAATACATCTAAAAATGATTAAAATATATTTTTTATAAAATCTAAAATTATAATC